TAGAGCCCCAAGTCTAGAAAGTTCATGTAGTCAAGAGTCCTGAGGTCTTCTCTGGGTGTGCCCGAGCCTCTGGATAAGGAGGACAAAGCAGTGCCCACAGAAAAGCAGTTCTGAGCAGAAAGTTCCTCCCTCATGGCCACAAAGGGAGGTGAGGAATGGGTACGTTGGTGATTATACTCCCAGTGCCCGCCGAGGCTAGAGCTGGATCCATGTCCTTTGAAACCTTGGCTTCACACTGAGATTTCCAGAGGTCCCAAAGAAGACAGAAGGTGCTTATATGGGACTTCTATGGAAGTTTCTATGTAGCCATGGGGCCTCCATGGCAGCACTGAGAACCCAGACTGAGTTCGCTGCCAGCAGAAGGCTCTGAGGACAAGTGCCTGCCTCTGGCCAGAGAAGCCTAAAGCAAACTGTGGTGGCGGGATGCAGGTGGCATTTGAGTTCAACCCGTAAGCCCAGAGGTGTCAGGATGAGGGACCACAAGGGCTCCCTGTGGACCCGACGGAGGCAGCCTGAGAGAAAGTCTGTCCTGACCACAGCCCCTTGGAGGGGCAGAGGGACCTCGGCAACACAAGCCACATTCCTGGGTGCTGAGGAAGGAGATGCTTCCACCAGTTGCAATGGAGACCCGTTTGCTCGCTGTCGTGGAACTGCAGGAGAGGGGCCCACGGAGACAGGAACTGCCAAGATCCCATAAAGCTATCCAGGAGGAAGGTCTGCAAATCAGCACTGAACACACCCAGGTCCCAAGAGACAAAGTCACCAGCGAGCACATCTGCCTGGGCCCCTCCCTTCTACTTGGGCAACAGAGGGCCCAAACTCTCCTTATCCAGCTCCGGTCCCCACCCCCATCCTGCCAGCCACGACCAGCAGAGGAGAGGAAACTGGCCCTTAAATGAAGTCCAGAGTTTTGATTTCTAACTCAGACAAGACACGCCATTTTTCCATTGAGATTTTTGTTTGCAACCTAACGTGACCAAAGGATTGTCTGTTACTCAACAAGGAGCAGAAAAGTCTTGCTTGGGTCAGAGGTCTCATCCAGACTGGGGATGCTCACCTTTGGGCGCACACTAGAGTCACCAGGAATCTTAAAAATAGAAAATTCCGAAGCCTAAGCCTCATCCGGGAGCTACCGAATCAGAGTTGCTAGAGGTAGGCCCTAGAAATGTGTGCTAACTAATGAAATAACAATTAAAACTCCCCAGTTGATTCTATTGCACAACAAGGAGACAAAGAGCAGGGCACTAGCATTCAGGAGCCAGAGAAGATTATTCCTAATGAATAAATGTTCCAGGGACAATGGAAAATAGCAACGAAATAAAATTAGTTTGATTGTTACAACCTGCACTCCTCAGGGTGCTGGAAAGATAAACGCTACAGTTCTCTAAATTTCATTTGGAAGCTAAAAGTTGAGTTTTGTGCTTTAAATGTGACCCAAACCTGACCAGAGCCGAGTTCAGTTCTAAACATGGGATCCAAAATGATCAATCTGGTGTCTGGAGTTTGAGAAAGTCTCCCCTCCCGTTCTTGGTCACTAGCCAGGCTGCCCGTGATGAACAGATGGGAAGGCACTGGCTTGGTGTCTGGGGCCCTGCTGACATCGAAAGGTCTGATCACACCTGTCCGTCCTCATTAGCACCCTGGCTGGGTCTGGTGTCAGAGTCTGCGAGGTCCCGGCACTCTGGAGAGACGCTGTATGGGGATCTCTACCACGGCCTCACACACTCACACCCTGTGGATGGTACCCTCTTCCACCTGGCTGGTGCTGGCCCCAGGTCTCTCTGCTCTAAGCAGAAAGCAGCAGAGTGTCTTCCCTACCATGCGGTATGAAAAACCATCAGGCTATCACTACATTCAACCAGTCCATCTCCTTCACCAGAAAGCTCACCAACTTTTGTTTGAGGGACTTTCTGTTTCTTTGTTTTTATTTCTGTTTTCATTTCCTTCAGCACACTGCATTTTCTATCTACAAACAGACAGTGAATTCCTACACGAGGTGATATCCCATAAAAATCTCAGTTCTGAGCTGAAGGAGGAAGGCACGCTCTGAGGACATCAGAGCCGCCATTTTAATTCTCCTGGCCGCATATGGAAAAGCAACCCACTTCACCCATCCCAGGCTACCTGCTTCCTCACAAGCCAGGAAACTTGCAATCCAAAAACAAAACAAAACAAAAAAAGCATCTCATCAAAAAATAAGTAGCTGAAACATCTTATCAAAAAGATTTGTAAGAGCTAAACTTCTTTCCAATTACTATGTGACAACAACAGAAATACTGAAGGAATATAAACCCACATTTGACCTGTCATCCTAAACTTGTAAACTTTAGACCAGCAGGGAAATAGATATATATTTGCTATTTGTTTATTTTTCTTTAGTTTTAAAGGAGGGTAAGAGGGAAAGGAAACAATTCTTTAAAAGGCCATTATCTGTAATGCTATGGCTACAAATCTCATAAATACCAAAGATTCTATCACACAAGCCAAGTGAGGTCAATCTCTAATTGGTCACACTGGTTTATGGCCCACGAGGGCCATTTATATCCACTATCACCCTGGGCCGAGTCTCTTTTATTTCCACTTTCATTTATTACTGCCTGATAGCTGGTCCTTGAGTAAACACTTAAAGGGGAAAAAAATCGTCCTTTCTAAAAGGAGATATTTATATCTCAAAGACTTGATAAAAACAAACGAACAAGAAGAAGGAAAGAACAGACGTCTTTATAAAATTAACCTTGACTTTTATTTTTGAGAGATGATTATTTCCTTTAAAGGGAATACGTGAGTGACTCCAAGGGATCCTTACACCAGAAATCAATTCTTTCTTTCCTATCATTAGCTAAGTTAAAACTAACAAAAGCAATCGATAAAAATGAGGCCACGTGGATAAGAGGAGCTGAGCTCTACCAAATATTGGCACCACACAGAAATGTTCAAAAGAAAATACATCGACCCCCTGTGTTAAATAGAAGCCAGCGGCTTTACCCTGGCAGGACCGAGCATCGATCAAAGCACACAGACCACTTCTAAAACTTTCGGATGCCAGACCCTCACCCTGAATCAAGTTCACCCCCAACGGTTTCAAAAGGTAGCTGCTGACAAAATTCAAATAAAGTCTGAAGTTTAGTTAATAGTAATGTGCCAATGTCAGTTTCTTCCCTTTGACAAAGGCAACCGCAGTAATGCGAGACGTTCCCAAGACTGACAACCGGGTGAGGGGTGTCTGGGGACCCCATGTTGTCTCTGCAACTCTCGCGTACGTCTAAAATATTTCACAGATAAGACGTTTACTTAAAAACATCCATAAAGTTGTCCCCAGGCAGAGTCTGGATTTAACACTAAGGCTGTACCCACCCCCCGCCCCCAAACGTGCAGGAGGAGACACAATAATCTAGAGATTTACTACAGCAAATGGAGCCAAGCAGCTAAACTCTCAATGAAGAGGAAGATTTAATGGAACAGACAACTGCCAGGGGTAGCCTGGGTAAGGTGTCCAAACATAGCTTGTTTTATGTGCTCCTGAAAGGCTGTTTGTAAATCAACTCACATAATTCAAATAACGCTTTGAATATGCTAAGGAAGCTTGTGCATTTAAAAAGCTATTTAATAAATACCAGGGTCATGGAGAGGTTTATTGTGTAACAGAACGACTGCACTCCCACTATTGGCTGAAGGGGGCTTCACGAGCGTCATCTCTGTCCACGGGGCTGCCCCCAAGTTCACGCTGCCCAGGCCTCTGAGTTTCCATCTTCCCTTTCCTCTGCCAAGCCATCTTTGTGTGGCTATGATTAACTCAGAGCTATTACAGCGAGTTCTACTCATGTCCAGGTCCCAACGTCCCAACAGGCCTCAGCCTCCGCCACGTTATCAGGTATCTGGGCAACAAGATCCAGCAAGTAAGAATACTCTGCCAAACAGCACTTATCTGAGGCAGATAAAGACATGACAGCTGTCCCTGCCATTATTGGGGTTCGCACTGGAATTCTCCTGCTGGCCACAAAATGGACTCCTGATGGCCATCCTTTGCCCAGTCCAAACCGTTGTTCAGAGGGGAACAGTTACCACTCCTAGAAAGACAACTCAGGATCTGACAGAAGAATGCCTGCACTCTACTTGGGCAAACCACACATTCCAGGACACTGCTGTCTCATCCATGGTGGGAGGGCAGGATTCTGAATTCCAAATGGATAAGGGCTAGGAAACACATCTTCACTAGTTCATGAGCCGACCAAATACTGTTCACTTGCCCAGTTTTGCATGGGTTTTGCCATTATGGGTACAAAACATCATTTAACACTTGAGATAAAAATAATGCGTGCATCAGACTATTGTTTAAAATGATTCATCCCCCCCAGATAGCAGGAGGTGAAGAACGAAGGGGGGGAAATCGAAGGGGGAGATGAACCATGAGGGACGATGGACTCTGAGAAACAAACTGAGGGTTCTAGAGGGGAGAGGGGTGGGAGGATGGGTTAGCCTGGTGATGGGTATTAAGGAGGGCACGTTCTGCATGGAGCACTGGGTGTTATACGCAAACAATGAATCATGGAACGCTACATCAAAAGCTAATGATGTAATGTATGGTGATTAACATAACAATAAAAAATTAAAAAAAAAAAACACCTCCTTGGGAACAGGAGTCCCTGCCCTTGGACTTGGCTTTGGCCCTGTGGCTTCCATTGGTCAGCAGTATGTAGCCTGAAGAGACCATGTACCACTACTGAAGCTATTCCCTGAGAAGCTGAGCCTATTTCTAGTTGCCCTCTTGCCATCTACAGTTGCTACTAAGAAGCAGGTCTCCTATGTAGCTGCTGCTTCTTCACTTATACCCCAGAATAAAGACACACGGAACAAAATTGCCCAGCTGACCCATAAGCAAGACTAAATAATGGTGTTTTAAGCCACTGGGTCTGGGGGTGGTTTATTGTAGGCACCATTTTGTCAACAGTTGAGTGATATGTCCTATCCTCTCCCCAAATGCAAAAGCATCAGGTACTCACCATCATCGATTCCAGGCCAGCCCATGAAGTGAGCAGAAATCTGTTTCTCATCCTTCCCATACTCATTCTTGGCTACTAACTTGTAGTCCCCATTGTTCATGTGAGTGGGATTATCCAGCTGGAGGCAGCCATGGTACTCCGTGTGATTGGTAACATGGATTTTAGTACAGATGTATTTGGACTCATTCAATATGGCCCCGTTATAGAACCACTGAAGCGCTGGTTTGGGGTTGCCTTTCACAGTGAATGGAATGCACCAGTGGTGGTCTGAGGTTGGAGATTCGAGAAATGTGATAGTTGGAGCAACTAAATTGAAAAAGAGAGAGTTAATAGCACCAGAACGCTCAGAATTCTCCCCATCTCCAGATTTCTGTGTCATCAATAGGGAATTTTATTCAACAACCATTTGGTTAAGAAAATACAGGACCAGCAACTCTGGAATCCATCAATATTTTGAATCATCATCAAGGCTGATTGAACTCCCTACAGAGAGTTTCAAAGAGACTCCTCTCCCTATACTTAAGACCCATGAATCATAGTCATTTTTCAAATCTATTCAGTGTGAGAACCAGCTCCAAATAGATTGCAGAGATTTCTGACAGCAGAAAGGGTTCATTTGAAGTCAACTTTGGTTTCGAACAAATACGCCTTGATATTATGTAGATTCGTCACCAAAACGCTGAGGGCCACTGTTTTTAATTTACGGTCCTTCATTAAACAACACAAATATTGACAAAAGTGACTTTGGAAATCTTGCTGGAAGCCTGGATCTCACATCACTTATCTAAAACAGATCAAAATGACCAAGGCCGTGAATGCTCCTACCAATGCGGATTGATTATTATAAAGTATGATCAATTGGTACTTTTCGCCGATTGCCAATAGTAAATGCTCTTTAAAAGCATCACATTTTGGGGTGCCTGGGTAGCTCTCAGGTCATGATCTCAGAGTTGTGAGATTGAGCCCTGCATCGGGCTCTGCGCTCAGCAGGGAGTCTGCTGAAGATTCTCTCTCTCTCCCTCTGCCCCTCCCCCTGCTCACTCTTCTCTGTCTCTCAAATAAATAAATCCCTAAACAACAACAACGAAAAAAAAAGCATCACGTTTCATTACAGCACACTCCATTTTTGCTAGATTTCAGAAGCCAAGGTTTTGATCCTTTTTAAATGTCTGGGGTTCTATCCAAACCTAGACAAACTAGAGATTACTTAAACTTTAAAAATAAAGCACTTTATGCTTTGGGGAAACAAACATTTAAATAGCATTTTTAAACAGAGTACTTATCCTGAGGGAAGGTATTTAAAGTCCCTCATAATTGTTTATTTTAATGTGGTCTGACTTTGATAACGATACAATCGAGGACTGGAAAATTCCCCAGAGACCTAATAGCATTGTTTCTCAGGTCAGGAAATCCAAGTCCAGTGAGGTTAAATGACTTGGTCAAATTTAGCGAGCGAGGCAGATCTGGAACAGGGATCCAGGTCTCCTGATGCTTAACCCAGAAGCCTTTCCCTCCTGACCCTTCTTCCTGTTATACGTGTTCATCACACAAAGTTGCGGCGGGGGGGAGAATTACAGCCTGCTAACAAATACACTTTGGCCGGAGTCACTACCAAAGCTATCTCAGTTGTTAAAACTCTTTACCATTTATTCCTTTTATTCTTTATCTAGATTTTGATAGACAAGGTCAATTCTTCAGACCATGGCGGCCACCATAGATATTAAGTGAGAAGATTTTGAATTTGAGCATCCTGATTTATAGGTCTGTGTTACAAATACAAGGACCCTAGTGGGGTAGGGACAAAACTTACCTTCCTCCCACCAGCCCAGGCCCCCATGCCCAGGACCCACTTAATCCTTCCACCATGCTCAGAAGAGCTTTTGGTGATGTGTTGACTTAAGGACATAAAGTTGGAAGCTGGTTGCATGTGTTTGGGGATAACATTGATTTCAGGCTTCTGGGTGGCTCGAAATGATGAGAAATTTTAAGTCCAGTACCTACTGGGCACAGAGGTAGTGCTGACAGTGACAAAAGATTACAGTTGGTGACTGCAGTCATGCACCCCGACAATCACATACGGAATGTGTGCCACGGGTGAACACTAACCAGCATATCGACACCATGTGTCTACATGTGTGTAATGTGTATTCATACATACACACGTGTCCGCTTGTGGTTTTCTCACCCACATCCTGACCCAGACACAGTAAAACCTCATTAATTTATACCATACCAGCTCAGAATTTGGAACGATGTGCAAAGTATATGGGATTTTTACTGAATACATGTTTGCACAGAACACTACAACCTGGAATGCTAAGATATGTGTTGTTATTTATAATACTGGAAAATAATGCACATACGCTTAAGAAGCTTTAATAGCCTGCATCTTCACTTCAATATATACAGAAATTTAAACCGATTATAATAAAAGTTTTCTGCAGGTGATCATAATTTTCGATCATTTAAGTAGTACTCCACCAACCTTCCCACAGAAACCTGATGTCAAGCTAATGAGGTTTTATGGCATCGATGGTACACTTGGGTGTTTGTGAATAGCCAGCCCAGTACTTTAGGTGACATAACTTTAAATCTTCATAGTGCTTTTATAGAGAAAAAGATTTTAGAAACTGGTTTATCAGAATTTAAACGAAAACTGATTAACAAGAGGAGGATAACCAGCTCAAAATAGGTTCTCTCAAAAAAAAAAAAAAAAAAAAGACAGCGGAAGGCACAAGAGGACAAGCTTAAGATCAAAAAGCTTAAAAGAAAGACATGCATGTGTAAGAGAGATTCGCAGAAATAGAACACTGATTATTTCTTTAAAAAATATACACAAAACACTGCACACACTTTTTTTTCTTGACACACTTAAGCGGCACCCAGAGGGCCCCAATGACAAATGCACGTGTGTCCACGATCATTCGCTATTAGAAACATATGCCCGTCTGATTACGTACAATGTACAGTGAGGTTCACAGAATCTTGGTCTTCTCCTACAAGATTTTCTGCCACACAGGAGATTTGCTTTCCACTGTCATCAGATGAAATGTTAGTTATCCTTAAGGAGCCCTGTGTGTGGCTTGTTTCATTCTACAAATGAATTAACAGACAAAAATAATCCTTATTAGGGCTGATCCCAAAGTGACAAGATTTGGGGTTTCTCCCCCTAACTAAAGAAAAAAATATATACCATTATAAAGTTTTCCGGCCTGAACTGGGGCCAGGCAAAAGAGTAAATCCAGAGCTATTCTATTTCTCTAGAATATAACTGTTTAATGAGCAAAGTTGATTTAATCCTTGGATTCCTATCTACGTTTCTCCAAGGGAAAAGACCATAAGGTGCATCCCTCGCCTTGCTCACAAGGACACAAGAAGCTCACTAGACACCCAGAGACTCTAATCTATTGGATATACACAACTAAAATGCAAACCTGGATTCATCTTTGTTAATTACAAGAATGAATAGAAAGTAAATGTATATCAAAAACTCATCATAAATGTCTCTGTATGGCCCTATAAAATTTTAAATGATCATCACTAGATGAATACAATCTCAAGTTCTGAGACACTCTCGTCTCTCTAGGAACACAGAGCCAAACAAAAGCCTTACCATATGTTTGGAAACCAGATTACCGACATCCCAGTACAAATTCGGAACTGGATCGCCTGCAACGCTACAAGATAATGTGATAGACTTTCCCTCCTCCACAGTGAGGTTGGGTGCAGCCAAATTTGCTGATGGCAAACCTGTGGAACAAGAAAAGTAAGTGGAGACATATACAAATAGTTCGATTCATTATTAAAATAATCGCAACAAATTGGAAACTCTTCATGCTTTAGAATCAGTAATGATTTAATTTCCGAGACAGATTTATGTTGATCTGAAAAAGTGCTGGGTTGGTAAGCTTTACAGATTTAACGTGAACCAAAAATGTGCGGTTATAAGATTTGAAAACAAATTTTGCATGTTTCTTAGAAATATTAATGCAGAATAACTTTTTACTTTAAAAAAAAACTAGTTTATAAAACTAGGTCTTCTATCTCTCTCAGGGTTCTACAGTTGCTAATCCAGTTTTTCTCCACATAAATAGGTTTCTGTAGACCATCTTACCTTGTTGATTTCCCCATTGTCCCCTTCATTTTTTATAGTCAAAAACAAAAAGGTGAGAGGCACCTACATTTTTTGCATAAATTCTCTTTTTACATTAAGTAACTCATAAATATAACCCCACCCCCAGACCTAGATTTTGATATAGATTACAGAAGAAAATGTAGCTTTTTGGGTTGTTTTTGTTTTGGGGGGCGGGCAGAGGGAGAGGGAGAGAGAGACTCTTAAGCACATTCCACCCTCAGTGCAGAGCCCAACGCAGGGCTCGATCTTAAGACCCTGAGATCATGACCCGAGCTCAAACCAAGTGTGGGATGCTTAACCGACTCAGCCAACCAGGCACCCCAAGAAAATGCAGTTTTAAAGCATTCTTCACACATGAAGCTGGACCATCACAATATTAGAATGTTCCAAAGCTATATAACTCATAGTTAAATATCATAGGAAAAATGGGTTATTGTAAAATTTCCAGTATGATAAAAAAAAAAAAGTCATGTGGATCTATACTTCCACATTTCAAGAGCTTTTTGATGTCATTATCACGTCTTTAAACTATCACACCTATTGGGTGTTTACACTGCTTTAAATCACATGGGACTCACACTATTTTCTGCATGAAGGCGCATCCCAGAGAGCGTAACGATATGTCAGGTCCTGCCTGTCAAGCTCGTCCCTCACTTGGTATCAGAAACTCTGCTCCAGAGCTGCATTTACCCCGACAGCTGTGTCCCAAGGACCCACGACACCTCATTAACTCAGGAGTAAGCTAGAGGTCAGAGAAGGCAATTCATCTTCAGGACACATTATATTGCAATTAAAACACCCACCTAGCGCTCTCTGACCCACTGTCTCCACATAACTGTGTATAAACCCCTCTCCTACGATGCAGTCCTACTGACAAAGCCTTTCTTCTTTATCACCAAAAGCGGCCTGGAACAAGACTTCTCCAGCGTTCGTCTCATGGTGTCCCCACCATCCACAGAGGACTTCCCAACCAGACCCGGCTTTCAGTAGCCGGCAAGACTCTTCAGAACCCTCCCTGTCAGCAACCCATAGGAAGCCTTGTTCTACCTTACACAGGGTTTCAAAAATGCTCCCTAAGACTCTGAGTTTCATACTCGCAGGTTTTCAATCTGTCCTGTTTTTAGCTTCCAAGGCTCTTCTTTTGTTCCTGAACGGTCTTCTATTTGTATAGCGTCCTGTTTTTGTCTCCCAGGTGCAACATCTCCTGACCTCTTTGAGATGTTAATCATTTCTTTTGCATTTTTCTTCTCTCCATATCAACACTGTTTCTGGCAACTTGTTTTTCATCATCTTTTTGTTTGGTATTTGTCTCTCTTATTGTAAGCGTTTCTCAAAGAGTGGGTATCATCGGCCGTTCCACACATCTTTAAGAACAAGGTACTAGAAGCATTGTGCATTTAACTGTTGCTTTTGGTGTAGGGCAATATTCTTGGCCTTTTTCCTGCGTACCGCCTTTTGCCATTATCATTAGATCATTTTGGGACAGGGTGTGGTCAGATTATTCAGATAATACTCTTCCAATGTCCTACCCGGAAGAAGAAGAAGGATGGAAATACCGATATTCATATGTAAATCCATCATTTTCTCTATGGTTCTCACAGCCTCACCTCTTTCTGGAGTTCCTCATAATATTGGTTTGATCCTCTTTAGAGAATAAACCTCCAGTTTTCTGCTGAGGAGGGAGGGGTGCAGTCACCTGGAATGTATGGAATGAAAATGGGATTAACTGTTCCATCAGGGACTTGACCCACTCTCTTGGGTTTGGTGTTGTCTGCACGCCTGCTTCTTCCTGGACTTGGTAACAGCTCTGTGTCCCAAACCAATCTCCTCTTGCCCTTGCCCTCTGCCAACCTGGTAATCAGCATTCTCAGCCATTAGCTCGGTTTCTATTCGTCTGTCTATTTTCCAGCTTGCAACCGTTTGTGTCCTGTTGACTCCTCTCCCATTTTCTTGTGCTTAGAGATTTATCTGCTGATTCTGGAGGGATCACAGAGCCAGAGCCTGCCCTGATGCTTGTCCTCAAGGTATGACCTCCTCCACCAACAGAGCTTGGAGACATCCCTCTTGGCACCTTGAATACAAACTATGGGATGAATTTCCTACTTACTATAAATGCATATAATAGTTTGGAAATTCTGAGCAGAAAAAAAGGTTAAAATAGAGATTCCCAAGAGAGAATGCTATGTCATAATCTCCATTTCCCTGAGAAAATTTAATGTAGTCTTTTTCATCAAGCCTAAATTTATATAAACAATTCTAAAAAAATGTGTGTTTAATTACATTAATAGTAGTATTATTTACTGGGCATTCACTGAACCAGAAACTCTTTTCTAGTACTTTAAGTGATTGGTTTATGTAATCCTTACAACCATCACAAAGTTAAGTGTTTGTCCTTATCTAATTAAGGAAGACTGTGTGTTCTGGAAAAGTCTAACACATCTTCCAAAATTGCCCACATACCTGTAGACCTAGGATTCCGAACCCAGAGTTCACGGTCTTCACCACTACACTATACTTCCTTCCCAGACTGCATATATCCATTTTAGCACAGAACATAAATACCAATATGTATCTATAACCTAAGAGTTTAGTTCATTTAGAAAATAATCATGTGTCTATTTGTGAAGGAAGAATGAGTCTCTCTTATTTATAGACAAATTGTCTCACCCTGTCACAGCAGTTCTCCAAAGGAGTCTGTGCAAAATTGGCCAAGTCTAGATCTTTTAGATGTAAAGTCTTCCACAAATGAGTAAGCATCTGACTCACATTAATTCTAAAGCATTAATAGGCTGGCCAAAGATTCAATAATGGAAAAAACAATCTGTACTTGAAATATCACTTGAGGTTTAATTAGCACAATAAAAATGAATTGGGATGCATGAACAGCCAAGGCAGGATAAACCATTTGCCAGGCACTACATCCTGGCTTAATAAGATTTGAAATCAGCACAAGTACAGAGCAGAGCTCAGCAATGCTTCCAAGAGCTTCTAGCCCTATTGTCATGGGATCCTGATTTAAGCTTGTGAGCAGTCTTCCTCTGCACTCTGAGAAACCTCACTGGAGATAAGAGATGACCAGCCACTCAGGCAGATGGACACCTCTATGTCAATGTCCTGGATGTGTTCCAAAAGGACATACCAGCCTGCGGACCTCACCCACCACGCAGTGAAAAGGCTGACTTCCTTTAGACCAGGGCCTCCCAAACTGTAATGTGCGTGTGAATCACCAGCAGATCTGATTAGAAACGTTGCTTCTTTCCAGTAGGTCTGCGTTGGGGCCCGAGAGTCTTCATTTCTAGCAAACTCCCTGTTCCACAGACCACACTTTGAGTAGCGAGGGTTTAGACGATGGGTGTTGACTGGACAACCGCTCACTAGGTTTTTTCGTCCACGACTATTATTCTTAAACTTGGCAGGGGCTTGAGCAATCATCTCGTCCACGGAGCTTTCCCCAAAGTGTGTTCTGTGGAAATCAGACTCCTTGAAACATTTGGTGGGGAAGAGGGGGTATCTAATATTTAAAAAAATAAGAGCCTATAGGAACTTCCGTAACTCTGGATGTTCACTATGTACATCACATATTAAAAGCTCCCAGAAGTCCTGCTCTAAAGGAACCAGTTCACTTCCATGGATCTTATATTCCCCAAGCTTTTTTGACTACACCCTTTCTCTGTAGTATCTTGTTGTGGCTCTGTTATTTTTATTTGAAGTAATTTGACAAAATATAAAAGATACACATATTTAAATTTAGATGTAAAATATATTTAAAGCTATATTCATATCAATGGTAGTAATAACATTAATAGCTCATGTTTATTGAGTACTTAATATGTGCTAGACCTCATCTGCAATATTCTCGATATTAGCTTATTTGGCATCCTAAAAACTCTTGAAAGTAGGTGTCATTAGGATCCCCATTTCCAGATGAAGTTAAAGCTTATCAAGTACCACAACTGAATAGCTAATGAATGGGAGCTGGGCTTGACCCTCATCTTTCTGTCCATGGCCTTAACCAATACATTGACTGGCTGCCTCCTTTATTGGGCTCAGCCCTGCCTCTGTTCCCTTCCATGAGCGCACACTTCCAGACAATTGACTCTGTCTTAGGATCACTAATTTGAAGTATTATTCCAAAGGGATAAGGAATGCTCATTTTTAGTACGATATTAGGTAAAAATGAATTCGGTTGACCTATCCCTAAAAACATAAAAAGCAAGTCAAGTAGGCAGGGTCTCACTTTCTAATGGTTGAAGAAAACTAACCTCTTATCATTTTGAGTTATTAACTCAGCTTTGCAGTGAGTGAAATGGGTCAGGTCTGGGTTTTATTTTTCACCTGTAAGTAGGGATAATGCTCTTTCTCATCTTGTTTTAGTGATCCCTGAGCTCTGTTCATTTTGTGTTCGATCATCATTCTGTGCATAAAATATTCAAATAAATTATGATTTTTGTCTCCTCTCTCCTCTCCTCTCACGTTCTCTCTTTTTGGCATATCTTCCAATTCCTCTGTCTCTTAAAGCATGTATGTTTCACTACCAGGAAAGAAGCCAGAACGAGCCTGACCTATTTAGAAGTAGCTGCTTTACGCCCAGTTACAAAAATGACAGAAAATTAGC